ATTACTTTCTTTGTACAGTTTTTCTGAATTTTTTAGACTCAAGGTTACGTGAAGGTCATAGTATTGTAGGTTGTTGGATTCGTCTTGACCTTGCCGATCATATCGCGCAGATGAAAATATATAAATATATATATATCCGGTCATGAGAGCCGTTCGCTAGGTGTTGTGCGTAAATTATACGTGTATATATATACATATATATGTGTTCACGTGTAAATTTTTACACGTGAAATTCGAATTGTAATAACAATTCTAAAATTCATATAGGATGCTATANTTGCATCTCATATATGAGAAATCCCAAATACCCCTCTAATTGAAATTAAATTTATATTGCGAAAAAAACTCCTCGGCCAGGAGTCGAACCTGGAATCTCCGGCTTTCCGTGCCATCGCCTTTCCTATTCGGCCACCGAGGCACTTGGAGTTTTTTTTTTCGCAATATAAATTTAATTTCAATTAGGGGGGTATTTGGGATTTCTCATATATGAGATGCAAATATAGCATCCTATATAAATTTTAGAATTGTTATTATAATTCGAATTTCACGTGTAAAAATTTACACGTGAACACGTATATATGTATATATATACACGTATAATTTACGCACAACACCTAGCGAACTTCTTCTTCTTCTTCTTTGCTGTTATGGCTCTTGCCCCAGTGAGGTAGGAGCATACGCCAGTCTTTGGTATATATTCTCAGAACGAATGTGGGGGGGGGGGGTGCAGTTTTTTACCTACTACCACGCGATACACGGCCGTCTTTTCACAGTGGGCGTGCCCATCTATGTCGGGCACGTGCTCAAGATGGTATGACTACGATCGCCTTGTGGGAGGGAAATTAATTCGGGATTACACTCGAATTAATTTTTGGAGGCCCGATTCAGTTCGCCAATCAACCGATAAACTCGGTTGAAAGGGACCGGCCCGGAAAAAATCCTTAGGTGGAGAGCGGATTCGAACTCGGGTCCTCCAGGTTCGCAGCCCCTGCACTCAGGCCGCGAGACCACTGGGCCGGTAACACCTAGCGAACGGCTCTCATGACCGGATATATATATATTTATTAGTTTGGAAACTTCNGAGCCTTAAAAGATTCTTTAATTGTTGAAAATATATACTCTCTGATAAAAAAAAAAAAAATGACAATGACTCTGAAATCCGAAAAATATGACCTTGAAAAAGAATTTCTTGGTCATTATTGCATCTGTCTCCTCGAATTGAATAATGACTCTTTTCGACACCCTCCTATCATAAAAAGTAAGATATTTAGAATGCTTAAGTTAGGTGGGACACCCTGTATGTTAAAGTCAAAGCAATCTGAGAAGGCTCCCTTTTTCGTACATTTACCAAAAGTTATGCGTTGTTCTACGTAGAATACAATTCCGAAAGAAAATAAATGGTAAAACTACCGAAAAAGGGAGCAGTCTCTGATAATCTTGACCTTGACATATATTATCAATGTCATGGTTCCGAGTAAAGTTTCGAAAGTTTTATTCGGCGGTCGTTGTTTACAAGTTATAAATAAAAGAAGTTTTATAAATGAACTCTTATTTTCCGACGCCATATACATTTTGTTCGTGTTGTAAGCGTGTAGGCAAGAGGGGCTTTGCTCCTTTGCAGAGGGAGTAGCTTTGCTCTTCCTCCTGCATCCTCCCTTTGAGAAAAATGAAGAATGGCTTTCGATTAAATGTCGTTTCATGTCGGAAGTGTGTACGTGATTATTTCAAGAGAGAGCAGGAGGAAGGACGAAACCACTCCTCCTGCGCGTAGCGCCCTCTGTCTACACTTACATTTAAATGTGCAAGGTTATATATATGGAGTATTCAGAAGTAAAACATTAAGTATGGTGAAGTATGGAGAATTGCATGCACTGACGCGCAGTGTAGCTTCCTACGCAAAACGAGGTTTAACTCAAATCTATGTGTTTACTTTTTGGGATAATGGAGCCCCCCCGCAAGGAGGGCGGAACACACTATAAACTTCCCTTTCCCACTGTAAACTGTCCCTACGCACAGTGTTTACAGTTTTGGCTTCCTTACAGCATGTTAAGCGGTGGAAGGGATGCGCACAACAGCAGCGAGTTTATGCAATTAGTACTCGCTACTGTTGTGTGCATCCTCTTCACCGCTTTAGCATGCTGTAAGGAAGCTAAAACTGTGAACACTGCCTACGCATACACTTTCCACGCTAAGCAAAATTCTACATAGATATATACTATCAAAATATTCAATTAATGCATACATTTAATTAATATGTAAACTATTTAATGGATACATAGTACTCAAATTTTTTAAAAAGGCATCTATCTGTTCATTGTAATTGTATAATCTTTTAAATAAAAGTTCGAAAAGATAATATATATAATGATACTCTTGCATAGCGTATCACGGAATATTCGATCGCATGTTAGCCAGTGAGGAAATCAAAACAAAAATGTATGTTGATACAATATGTCGAGGTCGTACGTAAGTATGTAGTGCTCCATGATAAAAACAAAATATTTCCTATTACAATGTACAGACGGCGTCATTAATTCGAAGAATAGGCGCGGGGATCGGAGGGCAAGCGGAGCGGTTGCTCGTAGCGCCAACGGGCTAAATACTACGTCGTAGTTGTGGACACCCGATTGCTACTAGTTAGTTAGTACGGCGCCCGTTGGCGCTACGAGCAACCGCCCCGCTTGCCCTCCGATCCCCGCGCCTATTCTTCGAATTAATGACGCCGTCTGTACGTGATATAGAAAAATGAAGAATTATTTTTAAAACTCTTTTGGTAAATAATTTGTAAACAAACAATGACCGCCGGATAAAACCTTACTCGGAGTCACAACCTTGATAAAATATGTCAAGGTCAAGGTTATCAGAAGCTGCTTTTTTTCGGTAAATTTATCAAAAAAATATAGGTTTACTATATAAAAAAACAAGTTGACCTTAAAATGACCTTGAAAACGCCCACGCATTAAAAAACTAATAGTGCTATTTGAATCCTCACTCAAAATACTAAAAGACATGTGGCAGTTTTCTTTATATCAGTTGTCTCTGAGATGTTTTTTTGCTGTGTCAATTTAAATGGAACACCCTGTATATGCGCGTACAAAACGCACAGTAATACACTACATACATTTTGTTGGCGGGGATATAATTTATGAAGTGAGGAACAAGGATGTCAGAAAGGTTCCGCGGCCCCGAATACACCGTAGTAGAGCGAATACGCACACAAGCAAACCAGAGATGCCAGATTCTGTGCTTTGGCATGCGATAGCATTGGAAAGGATGCGCATAGAGCTACCGTATACTTACGCTGTGTGCGCATTCCCTTCAATTCTATTGCATGCTATCAAAGCACAGAATATGGCATCTCTGAAGCAAACAACCGCTACGTGTCTGCTCAGCTCCAGTGATGAAAGATCGAGCCGGCTAGCACCGAGAGCACCGAGATGGTGGAAGCCACTGGGAACACACACACAAGCGAGACCGCTGTCCGTGTGCGTGACGTCATGCGCGAGAAATTGCCGTGCGCAGTAGAATGCGTCGCGCTATAACTTTAAAAAACTTTTGTAAATGCATTATTATTTGAAGTGAACTATCGTTAGCTCAATATTGTAAGAAAATTTCAGAAAAGGACATATACAAAAATACGATTTGTACAAGTGTGGGTTACGCTAAACCAAAAACATTTCTAGTAATTTACAAGAAAAAGAACTAGTTAATTATATTGTTACGCCATGGTCACCGTATATTCTTTTTTTGCTTGACGACGGACGCTATTTACTGATTGTCTTTGGGTTCGGAGTTCGGAGCTGTCTCTTGGCGTGTAACGACGGCGCGTTCTGAGTTGTTCTTCCTCTATATTTTCGCACTAATAAAGTTCTTTCACAAAAGCCGCATCTTTGTACTTTTCGCGAGCGCGAATCGCAGAAAGTGTAGAAGTGTCGAACCGCACCTGCGAGCGTAACAATATATTACGTTCTTTACATATTTACTTTTAAAGTCTTACACCCAAAAAAATCAGAATTTTGGCTTATGTGATAAGTAACCTTGAGTATAAGATACATGACAAAGAGAGACGTCAAAATCGGTGATTTTTTAGCTCATTTTTTGGTCCTGTGATTTTGGGACTAAATTGTATGCCAAATGATATCTTATGATGAGACAACAATCATACAAAATTTTCAAGTTGAGGCTATTACTAGTTTACGAGATATGGATGATCAAAGTAGTAAAAATTCAGTTAAAACTTCACTCCATATGTTTTGAAGCACGAAGTTTTATATTTATCCGATACAATTACAATTTTGTATCTGAAAGTTTTGCTGGCTGCTGACAAAGAATTTAAAGTCAGATTTTCAAAAATCTAAAATGGCTGAAGTAATATGGCGGATCACATATGTAAAAAATAGTTTAATTTCTATGAAAAATATTTAAGTTACTTGACTTGAACAAATTAAGGCCATTGCACGTAGCAAAAGTTTAGACGTAATCGCAAGGTCGTAAGCAAAGTGACCAATCGCTGGCCAGCATTCCAACTAATGTAAAATAATATTGGTCTGTAATTGGTTGAATTGCTTACGATCTTACGGTTACGGCTAAAATTTTTTTACGTGCAATGGCCCTTACGGAGACTCGACTGTATATATAATATAACATACAGGGTGTCTCATTTTAGTTGACACAGTAAAAATTCTTGTAGACAAGTAATTTAAAAAAAAAGCCGACACGTCTTTTAGTATTTTGAGCGAGGATTCAAATGGCACTATTAGTTTTTTAATGCATGGTCGCTTTCAAAGTCATTTCAAAGTCAAGTTTTTTTTTATATCGTAAACTTACAGTTTTTATTTTGAAATCATGATCTACATAAAACAACGCATATGCCATTTGAATCCTCACTCAAAATACTGAAAGACATGTATCGGCTTTTTTTTTAAATCACTTGTCTACAAGAATTTTTGCTGTGTCAATTTAAATGAGACACTCTATAATTATTTTCTTTAAGCGCATACTTGCTAGTAAACATTTCTCGTAACATTCGCTTCTCCGTAATACCATTTGATTATATAAATTAGAGTATCCATCTTTTAAAACAGCTCCTAAAGTTCTTTCTACTTGCCACAATCTGTGTTGCTTGCAAGTAAATAAACCTGAAACGTAAAATAACTTTAAAAAAAAAACATATCTTGAAACAAGAATTTAATTAATTATACAATTTAATTGCACAATTCTTTCTACTTTAGAAAAGTAAATCAATAAAAATTATGAAAACAAATTTTCTACATATACGTTGGTTTTTTTATCAAATAATTAAATGGTTCAGCAAAACTTTATTATTATTTATTATTATTATTTATAAGTAGTAAAATATCTTTTTTACCTTTGATACAAATTTTGTGGAAAAATGTAGCATTAGATTCAGGAATTAATTCCTCGCTTATTATTTGCACGGTGTAACAAATATTTTTTGCAAAGTCAATCACAAACGCCGTACAATTCAAGCTTTTGCATCTGTAATATATCTATATTATTTTTAATAGTAACACTTTGTCAAGCCGTCACATACGCTAGATGAGTAATATATTAACTATACAGATAAGGAGATAAATGAATTTTGTTTTTTTAGAGTATAGATGTGCCAGAGGATTCTTCGTCCTAATAGGTTTATAGTTACTAGTAGGTTTATAGTTACTTTTACGAAATCAAGTGTTTTTTCGAGTACTACCTCCATAGACAACCTTCGAAATTTAACTGTGCAGTCTTTGTCCCTACTACCACGTGATACACGGCCTTCTTTCACAGTGGGCGTGCCCATCTGTGTCGGGCTCGTGCTCGGGATGTTGTGACTATGATTGCCTTGTAAAAGGGGAATTAATTCGGAATTACACCCGAATTACTTTTTGGAAGCCCGATTTAGTTCGCCGATTAACCGATAAACTCGGCTGAAAGGGACCGGCCCGGAAAAAATCCTTAGGTGGTGAGCGGATTCGAACTCGGAACCTCCGGGTTCGCAGCCCCTGCACTCAGGTTGCGAGACCACTGGGCCGGTCGATAAATGAATATTTACATAAATTATGTAGACTTTTCTATAATATATATTTACATATTGCTGATATGTAACTAAGAAAATAATTTCTATTAATTATGTGGAGGATTGGCGAGAAAGAAGGGAAAAAAGAAAGAGAGAAAGACAGAGAAAGTTTTACAAAATCAATTGTGATACCTGTCAAAGCAAGGTATGGTGATACCGTTGTTACCTATTGCACTATTTTTGTATAATACACTTTCTACAGCATTTGCTGGTTTGGCTCCAATGACTTTTTCCCATCCTATATCTTCATTCTGACAATTCTGTGAACAATCTAAGAGATCATTAATTATGTGTAAAAGTGAGTTGCAAATATGTAAAACTTTTTACAAAGTAGTCTCTTTTTTAAATTTATTAAACATAGTTATTTTATATAAATTTATTTAATCTTATTTTATTTATTTTTATGGAAAAAACAGAAAGAATATTTAAAATACTATAATTAAAATTGTATTATTAATGATACTAATCCTTACTTGTACTTGAAATAAAAAAAAAAATAAAAATTATGCCGGCGGAATACAATATTGTCGCCATTTTATCTACATTACAAACTTGATATAAAACAAAATAAAGTATAATAAGTCGCTTCAGAAATTTCCAGATGTTCTGTCAATTCCAAAATATATCTTCTGCTTCTTGATTATCTCATTGAATTATCTGTATCTATAATGTAAATAATATTATGAATAATAATATGAATATGTATATATCGTGTTTACATAAAAGTTAAAAGCAATGTATGAATCACATGCATGTGTATGACATTGAATTAAATATAAATTTACTATTGAGTGACAAACTATTTTATTTATTTATTAGCGATGTGCTCTCTCTTTTCAAGATTCTCTCTTTTCAACTATAATATACACATTTTATAATGTAACGTTTCTTAGTTTTCTAGAAAAACTAAGCGAGTTGTCATGCTGAATATTATATGCTTGCCGTTATCTCGCATATTTACTTTTGTTATCTCTTAACACTAACAATAAGCACATATTATATGTTTTGTAGTAACAATTTACAGTAGGATTTATTTGTAAGTTTCAGATATAAATACAAATGCAAAACTACTGGAATGCAAACATCAATAGAAACTGTTTTAAAAATATATTACTGATACTCTTAGATACTTAGTAATAGAATAGTGACGAAAAATAAATAATAGTCATTATTCGTTATTTTTGTAGTGATACATAATTGTGTAAAGGATATAACTAATGTGAGCACATTAACTAGTGTAGGTCATTTTATAAATATATATTTTATAAATACACTTTGTAACATGTAACTGTTATATTTTAGTAATATAGCAAACCAAGTTAAGAAAAACAAATTTACAGTTCTTTTTCTGTTTTAAAAAATAATCATTAAGATGAATAAAAAGATAAGCATATAAAAATTTGCTTACGTTCCTGTACAAATATTGGTCTATCATTGATTTCTCAGTAACAGTTATCACATTTAATTGGAGAACGCATTGGTCAAAGGTCGATATCTTTTTTTGCAGCTTTTTTAGCTGTTATGTTTCTGAACGTTATCGAGCTATGCTCGTGTTTTTGAAGACAATTAGTATCACTGGTATCCTTTCGTTTTCAAATGCAAAAATAAGGTTAACTACACTTGTTCCACTGACCGATTGCGAGACAGACACGTAACGAAATGAAAAGCAACTATGAGCTGAGCCACAACAACGGCGGATACGACGAGGGGTACGAAAAGCAGAGGGGCATTCCGGCCGCGCCGTTCGCCTATCTGATCGAACGATCGGATACGGCTGGGTAAATACTATCCATTCACTAGCATTGTTGTAAAAAAAAAGAAAAAATGATGGCAAGGTAAACGATTATCTGGGATATTCTGTGCCGCCCAAGTATACGCTCGCTCATTTGATGACACAAATTTGATTTTTGTCATAGCGCTTTATCAATAGCACCTACACACAAATAATATCTCTATTACTTTGAAACAGCTTTGCTACTATATTGCACACATTATGTATATATATTGCTTTAATTTTGATTAAAGTGTATTTTTATGTTATATATGCAATTATTTACCTTAAAAAAATGAAAAGAAATACATACAAATATTTGTCAGTTTTTATTTTACAAAATGTCTGAATACAATAAATTTTATTATATGAATAAATTTTATTATATGAATAAACACATTATAAAACATAAGAATATATATATATGTATATACACTGTAATCAAAATTAAAACAATTTATATGTATTCACTTCCAAAATTGACTTTGTAAAATATTATATACATTAAATATTATATAACAACTTTGCAATCATATTGCGCACATTATGTATATATATATATTGCTTTAATTTTGATTACGGTTCATTTTTATGTTATACATATATGCAATTATTGACCTTAAAAAAATGAAAAGAAATATATACAAATATTTGTCAGTTTTTATTTTATAAAATGTCTGAATACAATAAATATTATGATATGAGTAAACACATAATAAAACATAAGAAACTTTTTTTTCAAATAGAAATATGAAAAATATAACACCAACGTAAACATTGTCATATATCTGATTTATAAATATTTCGCAGTTCTAAGAGTAACAGAGTTTTCTACGATGCATCAACTTTACATGAACAAGCATTAGGAGCACATATCGATAGAGAACATCAAACTCCGTGTCCTTCATTTTACGTAACTCTCTTGCATCGTTTATGCTCGTTAGTCGATGCCATATATATTGATACGGCAAGATACAACATAACGCGCTTCTCACAAAATAACATTTTTGCAAATGTAAAATTAATAATATGATATAAAATAAAATTTTAATTACATATTCCTGTCGCTTTTCAAATTTTATTTTTTAGAATTTTTTAATACTATATGATAAATATATAGTTACAGGGATCATCTTCCGATCTTAAGCAATTGACACATTTGACATATTATCAAAATCATCATCTTGAGTAATAGTGAAAATTTTAGCTGGCGGTCGTTGTTTATTAAAAAGTTATCAGAAAAAGTTTGAAAAGTGAAATAAAATTATTTTTCATTATTTGCTTATTTGGCAAGAAAAAAAGTTACACGATACAGTTATACGACGTAAAAATTTGGAAAAGTGTAACCCATGTGGGTGGAACCTCGCTTCACGTAGAAAATGTGTACGTGGAGGCAGGCTTTGTCTACGGGGAGTTCTACTATCAAGAAACTAGAAACATAGGTTTTGATTGAACCTTGCTTTGCGTGGAAAGTTGAAAACCCGTAAAAAAATCTTGCTACAACAAGCAATAGCTAAAACCAAAGCAAGGTTTCATTCATAAAAGTTTACAACTTTTCACATAAAGCGAGGTTCAATCCAAACTTATGTTTCTAGTTTATTATGTGTCTAGTTTTTTGATAGTAGAGTTCCTGTAGAGGGAGCGGAACACACTGGTTCCACACACACACTTTCTACGCAAAACGAGATGGTTTTATAGTTTATCAAATTTTCAACTTTTGTTGGTTTCTAACAATCATTTATCATGATTGTAGTTTTTATTACTAATTGTTTAATGAACAATGGGCAACGGCTAAAACCATTTGGAGATTGTCCTTGACAACATAATATATACAGTCCGACAATTACTTTAACATTTCTCGTAGGCAGATAGAAGGAATAAAATTGAGTCGAAAAGTCCTGAACCATTTTTTTCTATTACATATAATAAAAGAGTAATTATTGAATAAATCAAGCCAATCAGCGCCGACCTTTAGCCGAACGCACGTCAGTGAACCACACGTCTGGTGTGCGTGAGCGCTTCGCGCGGCTCACTGACGTGCGTTCGGCTAAAGATCGGCGCTGATTGGCTTGATTTATTCAATAATTACTCCTTTATTACATGTAATAGGAAAAAATGGTTTAGGACTTTTCGATTCAGTTTTACTCCTTCTATCTGCCTACAAGAGCTGTTAAAGTAAGTGTCGGACACCCTGTATACAAGCGTTTATTTTATATACGGTGGCACTTAAAAACATATTATTTATTAGATGTTTTGTGTAATTAACATTTTAACTAACAACGACTCTCGGCTAAAACCTTCATAATATTATTCAGGGGGATGATCTTGATAACATATGCTAAAAAAAATTGTCGAGATCGGGAAGTGGTCCCTGTACATAATTACCCAATTTATTTGTTATATAATCTTCTTTTTAAAACATTTTGTATTTTTATTGCGTCTACTTTTACTTTTGCTACTCGTTTTATTAACAGTCTTTTATTATCGCACGTAAAAGTGAAATCTTGACATTATTTAGGACACATATCTGCGGGTATGATGGTCTTATATAAATAACGTAGTTGTTGCAATACAAAGTAAATATAAATATTTATCTACACATTATCTACTTGTACTTTTTAGTTTCTACGTTTTTTTATAATAAAATTGTACTGATACTCTTTAAAATAGAAATAAGTAGAAAACAGACATTAGGAGCAGAATAGGCCACTGATGTACGTCGAAAGAAAGAATAATAAAAAATGTATAATAATTAGACAGTTTGATCGTCTTATATTTTTCAGCCTTGTTTTAAAAACTTAAGGTAGTTATCACGTAGAATTGATTTCTTGTCAACTCTTCCAAATATGAACGTAAGTAATTGCAATTATAAATGACACTTTTGTATATGTGTTGTATGCGTAAATCTATTCAAAAAGATACATTTGAAACTCTAAATGTCAAATTATATTTGCGACATTGATAAAAAAAAACTAGAATGTGGTAGATTACCATTATAAAAATACTAAAAAAAGTTTAGAATTATTGACCGTCTAGTTGTCAAAATAAAGCCGCGGAAAGATTGTAATAGAGTCTGAAATATTTGTACGACATGTGAATCAAGTTCTGAGAATACTTTTTTTCTGTAGCGTAAAATTAAATTTTTGAATAAGACTGTCGCGTGATAACTACCTTAAAAATTTATAAATTATGAAAGCATATAACAAACTAATAAAAATATTTTTAAGAATAGTTTTGCAAACATATCTTTATAGCATAAGTGTCCAACCCGCAAAAACTAATAATGTGGCCCCACAAAATCATAAACTTTTAACATTATTATGTGCTTTTAACAATATTTTTTATAACTCAATTACGCGGTGCTTGAGCTTGGACTGCGTATTGTGCGGCCCAGAAAAGCCAAAAGGTTAAACATCTCTTTATAGTTTATGATTAAAGAAAAATTAGACTGAATAAAAATACAATCAGAAGAACGTTCCCAGTGAAAATAATAATCGCAGATAGTGAGAAAACATGTGCGATATAAAGTAAAGTCCCTCTAACCAGACAAGTATCATTGCCCAAACATTTTTTAAAAGAAAAAAGAAATAATTATAACAAAGTATTTATATATGTAAAGTCAGAAATTTATACTTAAAATTATATCTTAACAAATATATATATTTTAAAACATTAAGTATTGTTATGTTAATATTTACATATCTATAATTACACAGCCACACAAAAAAAAAAA